AGGAGAGTCCAGATCCAGAGTCTGAGGAGGGTCCAGAGTCTGAGGAGTCCAGGTCTGATCAGGTCTGAGGAGTCCAGAGTCTGGATCAGGTCTGAGGAGTCCAGAGTCTGGATCAGGTCTGAGGAGGGTCCAGAGTCTGGATCAGGTCTGAGGAGAGTCAGAGTCAGAGTGGATCAGGTCTGAGTCTGGACCAGGTCTGAGGAGAGTCCAGAGTCGAGTCTGGATCAGGTCTGAGGAGAGTCCAGAGTCTGAGACCAGGTCCAGGTCTGGAGGTCTGAGGAGGGTCCAGAGTCCTGGATCCAGGTCTGAGGAGAGTCCAGAGTCTGGACCAGGTCTGAGGAGAGTCCAGAGTCTGGATCAGGTCTGAGGAGAGTCCAGAGTCTGGATCCAGGTCTGAGGAGAGGGTCCAGAGTCCAGAGTCTGGATCAGAGGTCTGGATCAGGAGGAGTCCAGAGTCTGGAGGAGGTCTGAGGAGAGTCCAGAGTCTGGATCAGGTCTGAGGAGAGAGTCCAGAGTCGAGTCTGGACAGGTCTGAGGAGAGTCCAGAGTCTGGATCAGGTCTGAGGAGAGTCCAGAGTCTGGATCAGGTCTGAGGAGAGTCCAGAGTCCAGAGTCTGGATCAGGTCTGAGGAGAGTCCAGAGTCTGGATCAGGTCTGAGGAGAGTCCAGAGTCTGGATCAGGTCTGAGGAGAGTCCAGAGTCTGGATCAGGTCTGAGGAGAGTCCAGAGTCCTGGATCAGGTCTGAGGAGGGTCCAGAGTCTGGATCAGGTCTGAGGAGGGTCCAGAGTCTGGATCAGGTCTGAGGAGGTCCAGAGTCTGGATCAGGTCTGAGGAGAGTCCAGAGTCCAGAGTCTGGACCAGGTCTGAGGAGAGTCCAGAGTCTGGATCCAGGTCTGAGGAGGGTCCAGAGTCTGTCAGGAGGTCAGGTCTGAGGAGGGTCCAGAGTCTGGATCAGGTCTGAGGAGAGTCCAGAGTCTGGATCAGGTCTGAGGTCCAGAGTCGGACCAGGTCTGAGGAGAGTCCAGAGTCTGGATCAGGTCTGAGGAGGTCTTAGAGTCCGGATCCAGGTCTGAGGAGGGTCCAGAGTCCAAGTCTGAGATCAGGTCTGGAGGAGGTCCAGAGTGAGGAGGAGAGTCAGAGAGTCGAGGATCCAGGTCTGAGGAGAGTCCAGAGTCAGAGTCTGGATCAGGTCTGAGGAGAGTCCAGAGTCTGGATCAGGTCTGAGGAGGGTCCAGAGTCTGGATCAGGTCTGAGGAGAGTCCAGAGTCTGGATCAGGTCTGAGGAGGGGCCAGAGTCTGGACCAGGTCTGAGGAGGGTCCAGAGTCTGGATCAGGTCTGAGGAGGGTCTAGAGTCCAGAGTCTGGACCAGGTCTGAGGAGGGTCCAGAGTCTGGATCAGGTCTGAGGAGAGTCCAGAGTCTGGATCAGGTCTGAGGAGGAGTCCAGAGTCTGAGAGGTCTGAGGAGGGTCCAGAGTCTGGACCAGGTCTGAGGAGGGTTCAGAGTCTGGACCAGGTCTGAGGAGGGTCCAGAGTCTGGATCAGGTCTGAGGAGGGTCCAGAGTAGGAGTCAGAGTCTGGAGGAAGGTCAGAGTCTGGACCAGGTCTGAGGAGGGTCCAGACATGATCTAAGTCCAGAGTCTTGAGCTTCATGTTTCTGTGAAGATCTTTTCAGCTCCCAAAGCCCAAAAACCTGCACAGATCAGATCCTCCAGCTCAGGTCCAGACCAAGACCGGACCAGGATCTGGAGCCGGTCCCAGAGCTCGTGAGGTTTGACCCGGAGACTTTAAACAAACGGACCAGGGACCGAGCCGCCCGACCAACGTCCAACAGGAAGTGATCGCGGGCGACACCCGGCTCCACGGACTCTGGCTCCAGGTCAGTTTGTGCGTGAAAGCGTGACCCCCTCACTCTGACCTTTGACCTTTGACCTTTGACCTACATGGTCCTGGGGTCTGGTCCCAAATCCAGATCTGAACACGAAGGACGGACCAATCGGACGCCTTCTTTCCCCGAGGTTTGTAAATCCGCCCGCGAGTCTCATAGCAACACCAGAGCCAATCAGGAGTGAGGAGGTCAAATGTCCCGCCCCCCTCACCGGGAAGAGCCAAGGAGCACACGAGCTGTCAATCAAACCTGTTGCTAAGGCGAGTGGGAGGAGCCTCGGGGAATCAAAGCGTCTGATTGGTCCGTTATTTATGTCCAGATCTGGATTTAGACAAAACCGAGAAAAGAAAAACATCAGGATCCACGAGAAGATTTAAGAAGAAAACGAGCAGAGGATGTGTGTGTTTCAGTGCTGCCCCCCTGTGGTGACCTGAGCCGCTCTGGTCCACGGAGCTCCTCTGTGTTTCTAAAGTCCACAACTGCCCCAGACTAAACACACATGAGCTTTAAAGCTTCAAGGAAACATCCCGAACTAGAGCTTTAATCCCACAGCTGATGTTTCCAGAGCAGAGGCTAAAGTGCAGCAGAGACTCTGTGGTGAGAGGGCGCATGCTTCACCCACTGCACCACCAAACAAACGCACACACAAGATCCGTTTGTGCGACAAACTCCAAATGTTTTATTTCATCAGAATCCAAAGACAAACATAGACCGGTTATAATCCTGGACTAGAGCAGGTTTGGAAAGTCCCGGGTTAGTCCAGCTTCAGCCCGGCTTCAGTCCAGTTTTAGTCCAGCTTTAATCCTACTTTAGTCCAGCTTCAGTCCGGCTTTTAGTCCGGCTTTAATCCTACTTTAGTCCAGCTTCAGTCCGGCTTCGGTCCGGCTTTAGTCCGGCTTTAGTCCAGGTCTCAGTCCTGGTTCTGATCGGCGGGGGCTAAATCCACAGTGCTGCCCCCTTGTGGTGACGCAAACACGTCCAAAAAAAATTAAAAAATCCTGAAACAGTCCTTTCACGTACGTCCAGCAGGACACGTCTGCGCCGTTTTAGACGTTGACGTCCCAAAGAGTCACGTTTGTCTCTTTGAATCGTCCTTCGTTATAAAGTGTCTCTGTGTCGGCGCACGTGTCCGGCGCATCGCGGAGCTGCGCCTGCGCACAGCGCCTCCTGCGGCGGCGCGGGGAAGATGTCCTCGTAGGCGGGCGGCAGGTCGCTGGGGGGCGCTGTGGAGAACGGGAGGCTGTAGTGGTCCGCGGGCGCGTACCCGGGCAGCTCTCTGGACGGGTGCGCGCTGCGCGTGCTCTCGGCGCCGGGCGGCTCCTCGAGGACGGTCACGGCCAAGTTGATGTAGGACACGTGCGGCAGCTCCGCGCGCGCGTCCCGCTCCTCCGCGAACAGCGCCAACTGCGTACTCTGCCGCGCCAGGCGCCGCGCCAGCTGCCGCCTGGAGAACTGCGCGGCTTTATAACGTTTTATGACGAGCAGGTTGAGCAGCCCCAGGACGCACTGCAGCGCGCACAGCACCGCGGACAGCACGAGGCTGCGCTGGTACTCCCGCAGGCGCGCGCACGCCGGGTTCTCCGGTCCCACGTGGAAGCAGAAGTGAGAGTATTTCCGGCGCGCCAGCGTCGCCGCGTCTCCGTCCAGCACCGCTCCGGAAAACGCGCTGAGGACGCCCAAGAGCAGAACCACCACCGCCAGGAGCGCGAGGTTCCTGCAGCCGGGCGCGCGTGCGGAGCAGCAGAGCAGCGCGAGCCCCAGAAGCACCTGTCCGCCGCCCACGAGCAGCCCCGAGTAGAACGCGCCCGCCGCGCCGCTCAGGCGGAAGTGCGTCTTGACCGCGGAGCCCAGGGACACGCAGCGGAGTCCCACCGCCACCTCGCTGAGCGCGCACGCGAACAGCAGCGCGCTGGACAGCAGCGCGCACGCGCCTCTCGTGCTCCACTTCATGATTTCCCGCCTCTGGCGCGCTCCGCGCCTCGCGCCTCATCCTCCTGCGTCTCGTGTCCCGTGTCCCGCGTCAGTGCGGCCGCTCCGCGCCGCCGTCGCGTCCCGCGCGCGTCCCGCTCATTCTGTCCGCGTGCTCTGTCCTCTGTCCTCGTGTCCGCAGTCCTCCGCGTCTCGCGCTGACTGCCGGGAGCGCGAGGAGCCCCGGA